TTTCAACATATCTCTTTTACAAGCTATAAAAGGAAGACTTAGAAGCTAAAGAAAAGTAACAAACTACATTACAACGAAAAGTCTATCAGTTCAAATCAAGCTCAACAAAACTATACCAAAGCACTGTGCAGACTCTATAGAGAAATCATTTGTGTATAGTTTTGTAAATAAGTAAGGAGTTGTTACTCATATCTTATAGTAGAACACTTAGGTGTTCTTCATTGTACTGAAAAATATGTGTAATCTACTTACAAGAAGCAAATATGTAATACACTGAAAGTACTCAACTGTTGTTGAATGATACCTTGAGAGACTGAGTGAAGGTCTAAGCTCAAGAAGACTTGTGCTGCAGCTTAAGTGGATTTACAATAAGGATCGATAGACTTATTGGGGGTGCCAATAAGGTTGATCAGACTTGTTGTGGGTTATTTTATAATCAATTTGGTTATAGTGGATTAATTCCTTGGATAAGGCAAAATCATCCTTGTGAGGGTGGAATGGAGTAGTTTAGTTAACAACGAACCATGATAAAAACCATTGTGTTCGTTTACTGTTTTATGTTCTAAGCTAACCCAATCATTGGAACTCACTAAAAGCTTCTCAAACTCCAAACCCGATACCCTCTTGCAAGATAAGTTTTCTAAATTTGGAACTTTTCATACAAGCATCATCAATGATTTATTTATGAATGAAACGTGTAGATATCATTTCCCTAAAGCTAACCATGTCCATAGTTTCTATTAATTTTGCTTGAGCTTAGAGAATTTTAAGATTGAAGTTTCTGAGACTTTTAGGGTTCATATTAGGGCCAATGAAATTTATGTTTGTCTTTGATCTATAGTTTTAATGCTTTACATTTCTGAAACCGTGAGAAAATTTGCTACAAGTTTCATGTTTACAGTTTTCATTTTTGTTGAGATTTGAACAAGTTACAGAGGTTCTGGCTGGGCGTGAGGTTGAAGATGAAGTTGGCATCAGGAACGTGTTTGCCATATATATTTATGCTTTGATTTATATAAACGGGTGTATAGCCATCCCAGTGGTAGAAGCGCACGCCTGTAACCAGAGGGACCTGGGTTCGAGCCCCAGTGGTACCCTTTTGATTTTTTTCCAATTTTTCCATACATTCTAACTTTTTTTGGCATGCGCTGGGCCTCCTTGGGCCTTGTTGTTTTTGTTTTTACTTTCTAACCCCCTATTTCACTTACACAACCCCTGACCCATTTTCATTTCTTTTTCTTATTTTTATTTATTTATTTCTTAAATATATTTTCTAATACTAAAAAAATCATAAAAAATATAAAAATAATAGACTTATATTTAGACATAGTTTATCTATTTTTTCTCACATAAAAATTATTTTATTTTATCATACTTTTTTTATTTCACTAAATATTTTGTAAATTTAATTAAAAAACTAGGTTTTTATTTATTTTCTTTTACACCAATTAAAATTTCAAAATATAAAAAGACCAAAAATATTTTATAATACTAAATTATTTTCAAGACAAAAATACCAACAAAAAAAAAATACTTTTCTTATAAACTTAATTTCTTTTATTTATTTTAATTAATAGGTTTAGGGTTTTATTTAAAAAAAATTCTTAGTAAATTTAGGTTTTAATTTTTACTATTTTAATTAATTATTTTTCCCTTTAATTAATTAGGTTAAAATCAAAACCCATTTTCTCTAAAAAAATCCAAACAAATATCCATTTTCTTCACATTTACATTCTTGCATATTTATTCATCTTGTACATTATTTATTTCAATTCTTGTACAAATTCAATATGGTTGTAATAGATTAATTAGGTTTATTTTCTTGCAATCCTCATTTATAATTTGTACACCCCCTCCCACAAGTATTGTAATAACGTAGTAACTTTAAATTCTGCAATTTATCACTTTATATATAACATGCTAGTAATCAGGGTTTGTATGGAAAGACTGAAATCAATACTTAGAAAAACCCTAATCAAAGACAAAATCAAGCATGAAAGCAATACACTTCCACACAAGCACCCATAGGGTAAATCCACTTGGTTGCCTTTACAAAATGTCCATATTACGCATGTGAGGTATCTTAGCAAAAATAAGCAAAATATAAGATCATAGTCCCTCGATGACGCTATCTAAGTTGCCTTTCAAATAATTTTAGTCCCTAAAAGAGAATGCTAAGATACCTTGAAACATTGCTAATCATGGCTATACAATGACCCACGCCTGTCCCGTTTACATCCAAAGATAGGGTTACTTACCAAATCAATGGTAAGATAACAATGTCAAAGGAAAAGAAAAATGAACATGAAAGACTTTTGAGTAGTTAGAATGCTCCTAATTACTTGCCCAATTTCAAAACAAAACATCCTTGTTATTTTCAAAATAAACACCTACACTTTCAAACATCTTACAAAACTTGAAAACATTTTCAAAAGATCAGCATCTTTGTATACATTCTTACAAACGAGAATCATTACAAAGATTGCCTAAACAATGGCCTCTTTACGAAATACTTTCAAAAACCACACAAAGCATAATTTCAAACAAAAGCAAGTGATCTAGCAAGTAACTAAGAGCCCATGGAAAACCATGGATGAAAAGGGTGCTAATACCTCCCTTTTTTATAATCTACCCCCGAACTCAATAAATAATCTCAAAGGTCTTTCCTGTGCTTTTTCACCTTTCCTTTTGGATAAAAGAAAAGTCGATGGCGACTCTTACTAACCGCAACATTTCGATAAAATGCAAAACCTTCAGTGACAGACACAACAAGTCAGACCTCACCACACCACAATTTCATGATATCCCTACATTCAATCCTATCATTCAAACATATGATCAATCAGTTTCCAATCCATCTACCTTTGACCAACCAATTTCTAATCCATCTATTCTTAATCCCAATATCTGTTATGATATCCCACCTATTCCTCAACCATCCGCCACAGAGCAACCTCGTTCCACCCGATTTTCTTCAAGAGTAAGGCACCAACCATCACATCTCAAAGATTATATTTGTGCATCTTTCAAAGATTCATCAAATCCACCATCTTCAGGTACTCCTTACTCTATCTCTAATTTTCTTTCCTTTTCTAATCCATCTCTACCTCAATATCTTTTTAGTTTGTCTCTTACCATAAACCATGAACCTAAAACTTATAATGAGGCATGAAAATTTGAATGTTGGAACCAAGCTATGAAAATTGAGTTGGATGCTCTTGACAAAACTGGTAGTTGGAAACTTGTAGACCTTCCACCCAATATGAAACCAATAGGTTGTAGATGGGTTTACCAAATTAAGCACAAATCAGATGGTAGCACAGAGAGATTTAAGGCACGACTCATTGCAAAAGGTTATAACCAGATTGAAGGCTTAAATTACTCTAATACTTTTTCACCAGTTGCTAAACTAACCACAGTTAGACTTGTTCTAGCATTAGCTTCAATACACAATTGACACTTACATTAACTTAATGTCAATAACGCTTTTCTGCATGGTAAATTACATGAAGATATATACATGATAATTCCTCTTGATGTTCAGACATCCAAGCCAAATCAGGTTTGCAAGTTGATAAAATCCCTCTATGGCTTAGAACAAGCCAGTAGACAATGGTATGAAAAGCTAGCTCCACTTCTCATTCACCATGGATACACACAAGAAACTTCTGACCATTCCTTATTTGTTAAGAAGACACAATCCTCATTCATACTTCTGCTTGTGTATGTAAATGATTTAATTTTGGCAGGTGATTCTATGAAAGAATTCCAATTTATGAAAAATATTTTGCATCAATCTTTCAAGATAAAAGACCTTGGATTACTCAAGTACTTCTTAGGCTTGGAAGTCACACAATCTAAACAAGGTATCTCCTTCTGCCAAAGAGAATACTGTATTGATCTCTTAAATGACTCAAGGTTCTTGGGATCTAAACCTGCCAACACTCCATTTGATCCTTCCATCAAGTTACGCCATGATAACAATCTTGATTTTGATGACATCCCTTCCTATCGAAGGCTTATTGGCAATTTAATATATCTCAACACCACAAGGCCTGGTATCACCTTCATCACTCAACAACTCAACCATTTTTTGTCAAAACCTTCTATGACACACTACAATGCAACTTGTAGAGTGTTAAGATATTTGAAACAATGCACAGGTCAAGGTTTGTTCTTTCCTCGAAACTTATCTCTTCACATTACTGGGTTTTTTGATGCAGATTGGGCAGGCTACATAGATACCAGAAGATATGTGTCAGGTTATTATTTCTACATAGGAACTTCTCTCATTTCATGGCGAACCAAGAAGCAAAACACAATCTCTCGACCTTCTTCTTAAACTGAATACAAGGCTTTGGCTACAACTACATGTGAACTTCAGTGGATTCTATACTTGATAAAAGACATGCACATCAAATGTTCCAAAATTCCAGTCTTATTTTGCGATAGTCAAAGTACACTTCTCACAAATGTCAATCCAATATTCCATGAAAGGACCAAGCATCTTGACATTGATTGCCGCATTTGTTAGAGAAAATGGTGTGTTTGGATTGACGGACAAAATCGTTATGATGAATTGAAGAAGGAATTGAAAACAGAGAAATTATGGATAGAATGCAAGACTTAGAGCGTAATTATAGTTATTGGTTCGGTTAATCGGTTTGACGGTTTCTAAAAACTAAAACCGAAAATCGATCCAAATAACATCAATTTTTATCAGTTCAATTTGATTTAAGAATCAAATCAAAAGTAATTAATTTTTTTCTGTTTTGATTTAATTTGATTTAAATTGTCAGTTTAATTAATTTTTTTTATCCGTTTATACCCGTGCTATTACACTCGTGCTAAAACTCATGAATGGATTTAAAAAAAAAAAAAAAAAAACTTAACCACCTAGTACTAAGTAATTCCACACAATTTGCAAGACAACCCATATTTAAACCTAACTACACCTGACCGTAGCTAAACTCAGGTGGAGGCTAAGGTTGATTACACAAATGGAATCATCGTTATCGATATGGGAATACAGCGTAATCCTCTTCATGCGTCCCTTCCTCGCCATAGCTTTCGTTCTTTCCTTAATCACTCTAGGTTCGTAACTTCTTTTCTCCGTTTTCGATCGCTTCTTCAATTCATCTTACCGATTTTGTTTCTGTGAACTGCAGGTTGGTTTTTGGCTTGGAAACTGGTGCTGGTTCATGTTCCCTTGGTTCAAGAAATTTTTGGCCTAAAAAAGAAACCGCTACGATCTAAGCCCCAAACAGGTCGTCTTTCCAAAATTTACAGCACCATTAATGCCCCAATTTCACCTCCCACTTAGGTAATTTCTCTTTCTAAGCGTTTGAAACGCATAATTGGGGGAAAAAAATTCATTCCATTGTTGGGAATCCAATGAAATTATTGGTTTCAAGATGAATTTTGTATACATGGAGCCTGTTTGGATAAACTTATTTGATCTTATTTATTGGCATAAGTTTTGTGATACTGTTTGAGAGACTTAATCAAAACAGACTTATTTGATCTTGTAATTTTTATTGATCCTTCCATTGTTTGGTTCATCTCAAGCATAGAATAGGATAGATGATATAATATTTTCTAGCCTTGGCATTATAGATGAGATCATTAAATTGATTTAGGATATAGAAACAATCATGGAAATTAACGGTTGCTTTCTTGTCAATTCAGATATGATAATTGGATTGTGAAAATGGCAAACATGGGACGTTGGATAGCAGGACAACCACTGACTCAGTGATTGAAATTGAATGAAAAATCTCCAAGCAGCGCAGACAACACGCCTCCAAAGTTTAGAAGATGTTTATATTATACTCGTTGTATATGTATTAGTTCATTAGTCTTGTGGAACTACTTTGGTAAATCCAAGTGATATTATTTGTGATTACTCTTTCTCATTCTCCCTATAGTGAACAAGACCTTGTTAACAAATGGATAATAAATTAACTATTAAACGTATTTGTCGTATGATGCTTCAAGGTTAATTTTCAAGGTAATTATGAATGACAAGAATGATACTCCCTCCCTTCCGATCTTTTTTATGTGTCATTTTTTTGAAAAAAAGTTTTGTTTCGTTTTAATTGTCAGTTTTAAAATTCAATATAGTAATAATTATAATTTTGTCAAAATTATCCGTAACTATTTATTGTTAAATTGTAATTCATATGTGTCAAAATTAGATTTGATTTGTTTTAGATTTAAATAGATTTGATTTAAGTCTAGAATAGATTTGATTAGATTTGTTTTAGTAACAAAAAAATATTTTTGGCTTTGGGATTAGGGTGTAAGCTCAGTTATAAATAGAGGGAGTAACCCCTAATTTTAAAAGCAAGTCAAGCAAGACAATTCATTGTAATCACAGAATTTGCAGTTGTAAGTGATTAATCACAGAATTTGCAGTTGTAAGTGATTAAGAAAGTTTTCCACAGTTTGTGGGCAGAGAGAAACTCTGCAGAAATATTTATGTTGTCTTCTTTTATTTGTTTTTCTCATAACTAATCATCATTATTGGTCGAAATTCATCATAGTATTAGGTGGATTTTCAACATCTGGTATCAAGAGCTTTTGTTTCGATTCAAGGGAAGTGTCAATCAAGAACGATTGAAGAATTCACGATGACAAGTTATGGGAATGCAAACTATCCAGCAACGCTGCCAATTCTGAAAGTTGACAACTATGAGAATTGGTGCAAACAGATGAAAGTCCTATTAAGGTGTTAAGGTCTTTGGGACCTTGTAAAAGATGGAGTCGAAGCGCTTGGCGAAAACGCTTCAGAAGAAGAAAAGAAGAAATACACAGAATCTGAGAAGCTGAGTTATAAAGCATTATTTATAATTCATCAACGTGTCAGCCTAGACAATTTCGAAAAGATTAGTGATTCAGAATCTACAAAAGAAGCTTGGGAGATCCTTGAGAAGTCTTTTGGAGGCGCTGAGAAGGTGAAAGAAGTGAGGTTACAAACTCACAAAAGGACCTATGAACTGCTTCAGATGGAAGACAGTGAAAACATATCTGATTTCTTCACTAGAGTTACAAAACTAGTAAATCAAATCAAGATATGTGGTGAAGCGTTAACAACAAGAGCTGTTGTGTCGAAGATTTTGAGATCTTTAGCTCCTAAGTTCGACCACATAGTGGTGGCGATAGAAGAGGGGAAAGACTTGTCGAAATTGACAAAGGAAGAGCTTCAAGGGACGCTCGAATCTCATGAACAAAGAATGAACGAAAGAGCTGCAGGAAAATCGAAGAGTGATGTGGCCTTGCAGGCACATTCAGCAAAAGAGACCAAAGGCAAAGAAAAGTGTTTCGATAGAGGTAGAGGTGGCTACAACAAATCGAATGATAGAAGAAACCAAATGGAAGGAGACGTGTAGAATCAAAGAAGACCATACCAAGGCAACCAAAGAGGTGGTGTTGCAAATAGAGGAAGAGGTGGTGGTCGAAAACCTGATAAGAGTCACATTCAATGTTACAATTGTCAGAAGTATGATCACTATTCGAGTGATTGTCCAAAAAAACGAAAGAATCAAGAAAGTGATACAAAGCTTGCAAAACATGAAGAAGAAGAAGAGATGATGCTGATGGTCACATCAAAAGATGAAGATAAATTCAAAGACCAATAGTACTTAGATTCAGGATGTTCATCACATATGTCTGGAAGGAAAGACTGGTTCGTCAATATAAAACCCTCAACGAAAAATATGGTAAAATTTGCAAATGACAATACCCTAGCAGCTGAAGGTATTGGTGATGTTATGATCATGAGGAAAGATGGCAAGAAGTCAGTAATTTCAAATGTATTGTACATACCAGGCATGAAGAGCAATTTGCTCAGTATAGGGCAGTTGGTCGAAAAGAATTATAAAGTGTCAATCGAAGATAAGTTTATGAGAGTCGTTGATGCAAATGGGAGACAAATCTTGAAGGCTCCTATATCTCAGAATCAAACCTTCAAGATTGAACTAAATGTGATGGAGCACAAGTGCCTTTCGACTGTAGCTAGCAGAGATGAATGGATATGGCATTATAGACTAGGTCATCTCAACTTCAGAGACATCAGAGATTTGAAGAGAAGAAATATGATTTCAGGATTGCCTGAAATTGACATTCCAAACGAAGTATGTGAAGAATGTGTGCAGGCAAAGCAACACAAGAATAACTTCAGCAAGGATGCAGGAAGCAGATCGAAGGCTATTCTTGAAGTCATATACTCTGATGTATGTGGACCAATCCAGGTGGATTCAATGGGAGGTAACAAATACTTTGTTACATTCATAGATGATTTCATTCGAAAATTATGGACTTACCTGATCAAGAAGAAAAGTGAAGTGATCGAAGTATTTACCAGGTTTAAGTCTATGGTCGAAAGACAAAGTGGTCGAAAGCTCAAAGTTTTGAGAACTGATGGTGGAGGAGAATATGTGTCGAAAGACTTCGACAGATTATGTGAAAAGGAAGGGATTGTGCATGAGGTGGTGCCACCCTATACTCCACAACAAAATGGAATTGCAGAAAGGAAAAATCGAACCATCATGAACATGGTGAGAAGTATGTTGAAAGACAAGAATTTACCTAAAGAGTTTTGGGGTGAAGCTGTTTCGACTGCAACATATATTTTGAACAGATGTCCTACAAAGAAGCTAGAAGGAATTACTCCAGAAGAATGTTGGTCTGGTGTGAAGCCTAGCTTAAGTCATCTGAAGGTATTTGTATCTATTGCACATAGACATGTGCCAGATCAGTTGAGAAGAAAACTTGATGACAAGTCAAGTTAAATGATCCTAGTTGGATATCATTCGACAGGAGGCTACAAGTTGTTCGATCCAGAGAACAAGAAGATTGTGATCAGCAGGGACGTGATCATATATGAGTTTAAAGAATGGGATTGGACTGCAAATGTCAAGAAAGATTCAGTGGGAATCCTATTCGAAGAGCCAGAAACTCAAGTCGAAAGAGAAGTTCGACAAGAGGAACCAGCAGATATACCAAGTACAAGCAGACCTCAAAGAACAAGATGCATGCCTGCAAGATTGCAAGATTGTGTGATTACATCAGATGATGTAATAGATAATAAAGGTGAGCTGGTACATTATGCTTTCTATGCAGATGTCGAACCTGTTAATGCAGCTGAAGCATTAAAAGATTCGAAGTGGGTGAAAGCAATGAACGAAGAAGTAAAGTCTATCGAAGACAACAACACTTGGTCACTTGTCGAATTGCCTCAAGGCAAGAAGGCAATTGATGTCAAGTGGGTATACAGAGTGAAAACGAATTCGAAAGGTGAAGTAACTCGACACAAAGCAAGACTTGTGGCGAAAGGATTTCTACAGAAAGAAGGAATAGACTTCGACGAAGTTTTTGCACCTGTTGCTAGGATCGAAAACAATCAGGTTGGTTGTTGGTCTAGCAGAAATAAACAGTTGTCACATATGTCAGATGGACGTGAAGTGTGCATTCCTAAATGGACCCTTAGATGAAGAAGTCTATGTTAAGCAACCAGTTGGGTTTGTGAAACATGACGAAGAAAGAAAGGTGTACAGACTACATAAAGCCCTATATGGATTGAAATAAGCTCCAAGGGCTTGGAATAAGAAAATTGATAGTTTTTTAAGGGAGAAGGAATTTGTGAAGTGCATAACTGAACATGGAGTATATGTAAAAAGAAGCAAGAGTAAATTGCTTATCCTATGTCTCTATGTAGATGATTTATTGATAACAGATAGCTGCAAGAGTGAGATCGAAGACTTCAAAGGTGATCTCAGCAAGGAATTCGAAATGTCTGATTTGGGTGAGATTTCATATTTCCTTGGTATCAAATTCTACAAGAGCAGTAGAGGTTTGATGATGCATCAAAGAAGATATGCAGGAGAAATTCTCAAGAGGTTTGAGATGGAAGAATGCAACGCAACTTCGACACCTGCAGAACCAAGACTGCAACTGTCGAAAGATGCAGATGAAGATGATGTTGATCCAACCCAATACAGAAGACTTATTGGATCATTGAGATACCTTTGTCATACAAGGCCTGACTTAGCATACAATGTAGGTATGGTAAGTAGATTCATGTAGAAGTCAAAGGTATCACATCTAGCAGTTGTGAAGAGGATACTAAGGTATCTCAAAGGAACTTTCGATTATGGCATTTTGTTTCCTGCAGTTGATAAAGGAAAAGAATGCAAGTTAGTGGGATACACTGATTCGAGTTGGTGTAGTGATGCTGAAGATCGAAAGTCAACAGCAGGATATGTGTTTATGCTAGGTGGTGCAACAATTGCTTTGAATTCGAGAAAAGAACTAGTAGTGGCATTATCATCATGCGAAGCAGAATACATAGCTGCTTCTCTTTGTGCATGTCAAGCAACCTGGATGGTGAACTTGGTCGAAGAGATAACAGGGAAAAATCATGGAGCAATTACCATGAAGATAGACAGCTGTCAGCTATCAATCTGGTGAAGAACCCAATAGCACATGGTCGAAGTAAGCACATCGAAATGAGGTTCCATTATCTTCGAGAGCAAGTAGCAGATGAGAAGATGAATCTGGAACACTGCAGAACTGAGAATCAGATTGCAGACATCATGACGAAGGGAGTGCAAGTCGAAGTATTCAGAAAGCTAAGGGTCATGATGAATATAGACAGTTTAGACACAATGAATTAGGGTGGTGTGTTAAATTGTAATTCATGTGTCAAAATTAGATTTGATTTATTTTAGATTTAAATAGATTTGATTTAAGTCTAGAATAGATTTGATTAGATTTGATTTAGTAACAAAAAGATATTTTGGGCTTTGAGTTTAGGGTGTAAGCTCAGTTATAAATAGAGGGAGTAACCCCTAATTTTAAAAGCAAGTCAAGCAAGACAATTCATTGTAATCACAGAATTTGCAGTTGCAAGTGATTAAGAAAGTTTTCCACAATTTATGGGCAGAGAGAAACTCTGCAGAAATATTTATCTTGTCTTCTTTTATTTATTTTTCTCATAACTAATCATCATTATTGGTCGAAATTCATCATAGTATTAGGTGGATTTCCAACATTTATTATGGAGAAAAAAGTGTGTTGAAATAGTTAAAAGTTAGGGATATTTATACAAAATAAATTATGGAAAAAAAAGTGTGTTGAAATAGTTAAAAGATAGGGGAGGGGGTATTTAGACAAAATAAAAATCATGAAAAATAATAACAATTATTAACTTTTTTGATATTTAAATATAAAGAAAAATATATAAGTTAATCAAACATAAATATTTAAATGAAAGACATTTTTAAAATAAAAATAAAATTGTATCAATTTTTTAATTTTTAAAACAAAGACATCAATAATATATTTTTCAATTATTTATATATTATTTGTGCGTTCACACAGATTTTGGTCTGATTACCCGTGCGTTCACACGGTATAGGTATATTATCCGTGCGCTCACATTGATTTTGACCCGATTATCCGTGCGTTCACACGAATTTTTGTATGATTACTCATGCATTCACATGTTACTGGTGTGTTACATGTGCGTTCACACGGATACTGGTGTGTTACGCACAATTATTTTTTAAAATATAAAAAGAATATAAAAAAGTGAAAAAAATGATTTACTAAAAGTGTTTATTATTTATAAAAAGAGACATATATCTATTAAGGATTACGGCTGTCTCTGGTGTATATTTCAATTGTGATATATTGATCAATTTAGCAACTGACTTTATTAGTTTTTATGTGACTTGAATTCATAGCTTTCAATCGTCTTTTTAATTCCGTCAGTCGAGAAAATTGAAATTGACTGAAACTAAAATTTCATGTTCATAAGTGCCAGAAGTATACAATATATATTGATTAACCAAACAGAAGAAGCAGAAAGCCTTTTTTTTTAAAACACAATTCCCATAATTTTAAAGGTGAAGTAAATATAAATAATTAGGCTACCTTGCAAATCCAAAGCCAACAATCTT